TCATTGTTGTTTGGCAGGCCTGGGCTGGATTTGAACCCACCACCTTTGGTATATGTGGTTGGCGCCTTAGCCACTTGAGCCACAGGCGCCAAGCCAGAGATTTAAATTCTTTTTTTTTTGTTTGTTTTTTTGAGACAGAGACTCAAGCTGTTCCCCTAGGTAGAGTGCTGTGGCATCACAGCTCACAGCAACCTCCAACTCCTGGGCTCCTGCCTCCATCTCCCAAGTAGCTGGAACCACAGGTGCCTGCCATAGTGCCTGGCTGTTTTTTGGTTGCAGCCATTATTGTTGTTTGGCGGGCACGGGCTGGATTCAAACCTACCACCTTAGGTGTATGTGGCTGGCGCCCTAGGCACCTGAGCCACAGACGCTGAGCCTAGAGATTTAAATTCTAACTATAGTTCTTTTTCTTACTAATATAATGAATCACTGGGTTAATTTTGATGCTGACTGAGTATCTTTTAATTTTTTTTATTGTCTGTTTTTTTTAATTGAGACAGAATCTCACTCTGTTGCCCTGGGTAGAGTACTTTGTTGTCATGATAGCTCACAGCAACCACAAACTCTTGGGCTTGAGCAATCCTCTTGCCTCAGCCTCCTGAGTACCTGAGACTATAGGCACCCACCACAATGCCTGGCTAGTTTTCCTATTTTTAGTAGAGATGGGGTCTCCCTATTGCTCATGTGGTCTGGAACTCCTGAGCTCAAGCAGTCCATTGGCCTTGGCCTCCCAGAGTGGTAGGATTACAGGCGTGAGCCACTCTACCCAGCCCTGACTGAGCATCTTAACAATTGTACATGGCAGGGATTCCATTAGTCCACATCATTGCTACAATTTTGACATTTACTAATAGATTTCCAGAGACTGAAGCACTGAAAAACTGTAGTAAAGAGTTATGACTATGAGATCAAGAGACCTGGGTTTTAGATAGGCTTTGATAATAGATTTGAAACCATAGTTAAAACACTGAAATACTGGGGTCAAACTGTTTTGAACTTCAGCTAGTACATATTAAAATAGGGAAATATGTAGTTAAAGCACATTATATATTGAAAAAGTAGGTTAGGCACTATGGATCATGCTTATAATCCTAACACTTTGGAAGTACAGGTTGTGAGGATCACTTGAGGCCAGGAGTTTGAGACTAGTCTGAGCAAGAGTGAGACGCTGTCTCTACAAAAAGTAGACAAATTATTTGAATATGGTGATTCATGCCTGTAGTTCCAGGCACTTTGGAGGTGGAGGCAGGAGCATCACTTGAGTCCAGGAGTTTTAGGTTGTCTGAAGCTATGACAACATCGTTGCACTCCAGCTCAGGCAACATTTATAAAACCCAGTAGATGTGTATTTAGATTTATTTACTGATATTTGAGAAACTTTCTTTGTGTAAAATTTATGATTCTAATAGTGATAAAAATTCTAAGTAGTTTCCCTTGTCAATGAAAAGGCACTGAGATATTCTTGATTACTGCAAAAATAGCACGTAAGCCATTGAGAAAATAATATGTCTAGGCATATGTCTTGTGAAAACAACAGAATTCTACTTGTGGCACATTAGGATGTTAGAACTGAGTATGTATGTGGAGTGTTCAAAGCAGGGATAGTAAACATATGGAATGTTTTCCCTGTGCATAACATTTAGATTAGATTTTCTATGAATTATGACTGTGTACTCCTAGTTCTAAATATTTCAGTAGTTCAGATTGTGGGACTCCTGGGACATTGAACTAAGTTTGAATAGTCAGATATCTAATTCTGGGTATTCTGAGAATATTGGTGTGTGTGTGTATGTATATGTATATGTATGTGGTACTAATTAATAATGTTACTTGGTTGACTTGGAGAAGGATTGATTTGTAGTGTGACACTGCCAGTGTTTTATTTCTTTTGGAGACAGAGTCTCAGTCAGCCTAGTTCACTGCAGTCTCAAACTTTTGGGTTCAAGTGATTCTCCTCCCTCAGCCTCCTGAGTGGCTGGAACTATAGGCACCCACCACAACATCTAGTTAATTTTTCTATTTAGTAGAGACAGGGTCTCCTTCAGCTCAGACTGGTTTTGAACTCCTGAGCTCATGTTATCCTCCTACTTCAGGCTCTTAGAGTGCTAGGATTACAGGTGTGCACCACGGGGCCCAGCCTGATGCTGCTAATATTAATGAAGGAACATGGAGGGTTTCCAAAAATTCCATGTAAATGTATTCTCATTGTAAACTCACAGTCTGGAAATGGCTATCCTCATATAGAAGGATTACATAATTTGGATTTTTTTTTTTTTTTTTGAAACGGAGTCTCAAGCTGTTGCCCTGGGTAGAGTGCTGTGGCATCACAGCTCACAGCAACTGCCAACTCTTGGGCTCAAGTGATTCTCCTGCCTCCACCTCCCAAGTAGCTGGGACTACAGGTGCCTGCCACAACGCCCGGCTATTTTTGGGTTGCAGCCATCATTGTTGTTTGGCGGGCCTGGGCTGGATTCAAATCCACCAGCTCAGGTGTATGTAGCTGGCTCCTTAGCTGCTTGAGCCACAGGTGCCCAGCCAATTTGGATATTTTTATGGAAAAATCTCAAATTAATGTCAGGGACCTTTTTTGGCTCCCCTTAACCATTTTGTGGTATGTTTAATAGCTTATGGAAGTGACGGGGAAAAATCAGGACGAATGCATAGTGGCCCTACATGACTGTAATGGAGATGTGAATAAAGCCATCAATATATTGCTGGAAGGGAATTCAGACACAGTAAGTATTAATTGGTTTGCTTTGCTAAGATTTGTCTCCAATTTCGTAACATTTTCAGCTTAACCTTGGTTGGGGGTGGTGGTGGAAGGTATTGGGCATAGCATTCCATATTTGTCTTAAGTTACAGAAAGAACACCATCCTGATATGACTATTATGTGTGGTTCCTTCATGAAGTCAGAATAGGAAGACTCAAAAGAGAACTTGATGATTCACTCTTGCCTTACATACTTTCCAAAATTCAGTGGGCCTGTGGATATTTTCACCTGAAAAGCATCTTTTGGCTCCACTGCTTATGTTTCTTCATCTGAATTATCATCTTCATATATTGCTAGACTAACAGAAAACCAATATTTGCTTGTGTATGAATATTCTATACTCATTGTCATGACAGTTTGTCATATATATACATACACATATATATTATACATCCATATGTATACACATACACACACACACACATATATTAAGAGTATAGAAGGGGATGCTATATAAGACTAGGGCGCTGGCCCCATATACTGAGGGTGGTGGGTTTGAACCCGGCCCCAGCTAAACTGCAACAACAAAAAAAATAGCTGGGTGTTGTGGTGGGCACCTATAGTCCCAGCTACTCAGGAGGCTGAGGCAAGAGAATCGCTTAAGCCCAAGAGCTGGAGGTTGCTTTGAGCTGTGATGCCATAGCACTCTACTGAGGGAGACAAAATGAGGCTCTGTCTCTAAAAAGAAAAAAAAAAAAGTATATAAGGCCAGGCACAGTGGCTCACAACTATAATGCACTTTGGGAGGCTGAGGCAGGTGGATAGCCTGAGCAAGAGTGAGACACTGTCTCTACTAACAGAAAGAAAAACTAGCTGGGCATTGTGGTGAATGCCTATCGTCCAGGGTACTCAGGAGGCTGAGGCAAGAGAATCACTTGAACGCAGAGTTTGAGGTTTTTGTGAGCTACAATGCTTTCTCACTCCACCTAGGGTAACAAAGTGAGACTGTCTCAAAAAACAAATAAACAAAAAGAATTTGGGCGAGGCCCAGTGGATCATGCCTATAATCCTACTACTTCAGGAGACCAAGGAGGGAAGATCACTTGAATGCAGGAGTTTAAGACCAGCCTGAGCAAAAGCACCACTTTGTCTCTCCAAAAAGTTAAAAGAGGCTTGGCACCCCTACCTCAGTTAGTAGGGCACTGGCCACATACACCGAAGCTGGTGGGTCCGAGCCCAGCTTGGGCCTGCTAAACAACAATGACAGCTGCAACCAAATAATAGCCGGGTGTTGTGGTGGGCACCTGTAGTCCCAGCTACTTGTGAGGCTGAGGCAAGAGAATCACTTGAGCCCAGGAGTTGGAGGTTGCTCTGAGCACCATGGTACTCTACTGTGGGTGACATAGTAAGACTCTGTCTCAAAAAAAAAAAGTTAGTTAGCTGGGTGTGGTATGTACCTGTATTCCAGCTACTGGGGAGGCTAACGAAGGAGGATCACTCAAGCCCAAGAGTTTGAGGCTGCTGTGAGCTACATTCATACCACTGCACTCTAGCCTTAGTGAAGTAAGACACTGTATCACATTTCAGTTTAGATTATAACAAATAAAGATTTACCTAGATGAGGGTCCATAGATGAATGTGTAAATGCCTTCTTTGTGGTAGGGGCAGGTAGTATAGAAATGAGTTGCTGAAATGAGAAATGAGAAACTAAAAACTAAGTAAGTATGTTTTTAGTTGGTGTGCAACAAGTAAAATTAATTTTTGTAGTTATAAAAATTAGCAAATTTGGTACCTAATTCTGAAATTATTTCACTGATTGAATGTAGCAGTATCTATAGGTAAAATGCCATACAGGAGAACACCAATCCACATGATTAACCACCAAATATGTGAATTTGTTGGGAAAACATGTTAAATAAGTTCAAATTTTGAATAGTTTTTGTTTGCTGACATGGATTAAGTTTCCTAGATTTTATAAAATATGGAGAATGTCTTTACCTAATTGTTGATGGGTGGCTACAACATGGGAATGACTCAGTTATTTTTAAAGTGAACTGAAAACCTTAACTGCCCTCTTTATAAAAAAGAAATGTGAATGAATAAAATATTTTCAAATTTTTAACTGGAGGGGGTCTTTTCTTTTTATGGTAGAGATAAGTCTAGTTATTATTTTCTGTTACCTTTACTTTAGCTCCATTAGATTTCATTCCTATTTTGTGATCTGTTGAGTGAAGTTTTAAGTGTTTTTTGTTGTTGTTGTTGTTTGTTTGTTTGAGACAGAATCTCACTCATTTGTCCCAGGTTAGAGTCCTGTAGCATCAGCCTAGCTCGCAGCAACCTCAGACTCCTGGGTTCAAATGGTCTTCCTGCCTCAGCCTCTGGAGTAGTAGCTGGGACCACAGGTACCTGACAAAATGCCCAGATCATTTTTCTGTTTTTTAGTAGAGATAGGGTCTCATTTGTGCTCAGACTAGTCTTGAACTCCTGAGCTCAAGCATTCCCCCCACTTCAGCCTCCCAGACTGCTAGAATTCCAGGCGTTTGCCATTGCACCTGGCGTTGGGAATAATTTTTCCAGGACCTCTGGGATTTGCTTCTTTTCTTGCTCACATGAAAGGTCTGGATTCTATTTTTCATAGTTATCTAGTTTATTAATATTAGTAATGAATCGAGATTGTACACTATGAGAATTTTTTCTCTGGAATAAATAAGCTTGTTTAATTAGAAAAGTCAGAAAAGGCTTGGTGCCTGTGGCTCAAGCGGCTAAGGCGCC